TATTATTTGATAATATATACAACCAAAAAAAAAATATATATATAAATAATGGAAAAAAATATTTTACAGAAACGCTCGTCTACAAATATAACTTGGGAAACAACAAAAGGCAATTGAGGGTTTTACAGTCGATAGTTTTCGTAAATGATCTTCTCTTCGAATTTCCTTGTATCTGTCTTAACTGAGCACATTTGTACAATTCTGCGCAATTGTTTTTTCCTCTTTTCATTATTGTTATTCGTCAAAATATCGCTTAGCTCAGAATATCACTTATAGTACGCTAATATATGCCAAGATTGATAAATTACATCAACAGTACGCGATAAATATATACGCATCATTTGTTACTAACATCGAGCTCCAACGTGTGTGCTAGTTTGTCTTGTTTTTTTCTTTTTGTATGAATTCTTTCAATACATGTCACATAATAGAAAACATACCACTTCGCTTGCCAATGATATTATACATAATATATATCACTAAATGTCATACAAATATCCGGAACGGACAAGTTATATAGTGTAATAGTGTAAACTTACACTATAACGATTATTATTAATCTTAAGTAACACCGCATCAAGGTGGAGAATACGACATCGGCGATTCCGTCAAAAATTGTTTCTTTCCGATTTATATATTTTTTTCTCTTCCTATTTTCTTTATCGTTATAATAGTTTGCAACGTTTTATCATTCCAGCAAGTGACAATTGCAACAATTAAACTAATTAAAAAAACGTAAAATTAATAATTGGTTAATTATAAAATAGTGAGTTAGAATGCCCGTGAAATGGGCAAAATATTCGAAAAAGATCCAATCCCAAACACGCTATAAAATATACAATGGATAAAGAAAAATAGAGGTATATAAAAGATATATTATCAATTCTATTTAGTAACTCGCTATATGCTCATATATAACGTTGTCATTCGAACGACTTGCTATTGAGCAGGGTTGGTAAAAAACATGTTTTAAACGTGTTTTAAACAGTTTAAAACATGCTTAATTGATGTTTTTAATATGTTTTAAATATGTTTTTTTATAGTACTGTTCAAAGCATATTTGAAGCATTAAAAACATATTCAAGAAGAAACATAATGTTTTATTCTTAAAAAAAAAAAAACATTAGTCTTTACCAACCCTGCTATTGAGCCGCGAGATTAGCTACGCATGAATTTATATCAAGGAAATTCTTAGCCAAATAGTTTTTTTACATCATTACACGAGTATTCAGTAATTTCAAAATATTTATCTTGATCAAAACTCGACTACGTGTTTATTCCATTATCTCTTAAGCCATAGTTTAATCGAGCAAATATAATCGAGCGTCAAAAAATATTATTGAGATAAAAAAGAGAAAACGCTGCAATCGATCGCGTAATAATCTTCATCTATGAATTTATTTATTTTAGTTATATCGATTGATCGAACATTATTGATGTATAATTAATACATTTATCATAATATAAACCGAAGAAATAGTCTCATCCTCTCTAACAACCCTTTGTTCAATACAAAAATTTACTCGTGAGTATACTTGCTACCTGCAATCTCATTTCTATTCCGGTAGATCATAGTATATGTGTGGAATGAACGAAAAAAGAAATGAAAAAATATTCAGAGGCATCCTGATTGTTGCGCTTAGAAACTGCAATCTTGGTGGTTTCGCCGACAGATGCTTCTCTAACATTTTCAAAAGACGAAGAGTGCAGAGATAGTGCAAACAACGGTTCAATGTTTAACTATCTCGCTGTAAGAGTTTATGCAAAAAATTATTTAGCAAAAATTTTAAGGCATCCCAATTAATTTCACTGTAAAGTTTCAATCTTAGATATAATTTCTTGTAATCTTCGAGTAATCTTGTAATCTTTAGTATGATTAGAAATAAAAGTATAAAAGTAATAGTTGTCTTATTTTAACTGTATTATCTTTGAAGAATACAAATTTGACAATTGTCGAGTGAATATGTGACATAGAATAAATACAAGAGAATTATTAAACAGAAACATATGTATAGAAAAAAGATACGTTCGAAATTCGCTTTATACAATAAGAGAAATATTATATTTATGAAGGAAATAAGTTAACAAGAGTCTATTCGCGAAGATGAGTTTTAAATGGAAAATAATATTTATTGCAATATATTTTCTATTTGTATCTAACGTATCTTTCAACAAACAAGTAGGAAATCTTAGAGAATATTGCATTAAAAAATTATATTATAAAGAACAATTAATTAAATAATTCAAACGTGCGATAAATTAAAAACATGGTATCTTATCATTTTGAAATTACATTCGTAAAAGCTAACTTTGCTATTATATGACTTCTAACTTGCTTGACTTGTAACGAATCTAACATTGAAACGTGTAACTGCATGAAACTCGAATCCTGATAATCATCTATATTATTATCATTGAAAATTTATTTCCATAAGATCACTGTATAAATCTTTGCCTCTTCGTCCATTGGGTCTGATCTCGAAGCGTGATACCTATGACATTTTCAAAGAATCGGTTTCTAACTTCATTCTCATTTTATTGAAATTAAACATCGAAACATCGAACACATGTTAACTTATGCATTCTCATATATAGAGAGACTATATTGCTTTATAGTTAAGTTCTGTGACAAAATAATTGCGCCGATTTCCTATGAAAAGAAATCGACGGAAGCAGTCATATGGAAATGATACACTCTGTGCTCTGACTGTCACGCAGTTGGCATAGTCAAAGTCTAATGTTCTTTTTTGTCTTCGACAGACGCTTCCTTCGTCACCTCAGCAGACTCAATGACCTCGAAGCCTTCGGAGGACGAAGTATCGGTGAACGAACTCTTCGTAGCTCTGGACGCTGAGGGAACCGCTTCCGTCTTTGCAACGGAAGTTGATGTAGCGGACACTGTCGTGTCCTCCGACACTGTGATTTAACGCAAGATTGATTCTTTATTATATACCAAAAGCCATGAAGAAAGATCATACTTATATCAAAGATAGTACAAATTAGATAATAAATATCCATAATAAAAGTTAAATCGATGTAGTATAAATTTGATGCAGCGCGCAACTGTAAGTCGAACCACAGTTGTAAATAAACTGTTTTCCGACATAACGCTCGTGCGCGTGTTAAAACGATTATCGATTATCTGAGCCACGAACGTGAAACGAGAGGTGAAATTAAAAGGCCAGAAAAATAATCAGTGCTAGTTGGATCGTCGAATTGAAACACGATAGCGCGGTATCGCGTGCCAAACTATGTAGGCGCTCCAAAGCGACGAGTGTCAGTGACACAGGATCTACAAAGTGCTCACTCAAAACTCTAAACCGATGAAACGCACGCGTTTCGCGAACCGGCATGCGGAATGCGTAATCACGGAATTATTGACGATTACAATAGGTTATATGATATCTCAAAAATTATACTCAAACATATTTCTCTGATATCAAGTTAAATTCCCAAGAATCATTTTTCTATCGGCCTGTCATTTGAGAATTGTGCAGCTTTTCTTTCGTCATTCCTAATAACGTATAAATCCTAATATGCTTCATAAAATTAAACTCGCTCGCGCAAGCGTTATAGAGAGAAAAATTTTTTCCTACTATTGTATAAAAGTTGAAATAGGTATATATATATATATATATATATATATATATATATATATAT